TACTACACACAAACAACCTAAATACAATAGATTAAAGTTCTTCCCTCATATGGACAAAAACACCGAACAAACCGCGACCACAAGACACGAGGCCGACCACCTAAACGGGTTGGATCTCGCCCCTAGTGTTGGATCAAGAAATTGCAAATTCGCCTGACTGGCGCCAACACCCACGAGCTTGATCCGTCATCCAGGTAGCCGAACCCACCCCTGCGCTGGAGGAAACCATACCTACCCCCATCACAACACCACCGCCCCGAACCCAGCCCACAAGGCCCAATCTCGTCACGCCGGCCACTCTCCTCAGCCCCAACCACCACGACAAGGTCGTCGCGGCCACAAACCCAACCCCGCAGAACATCTGCCGCCACGTTGCCCGGGAGATCGACGACCAACGGCCATATAGGCGACCAGGGGAGGCGGCGAAAACCTTATGGGCCCAGCCATCCAGCTCACGCGGTACGAGGAGAACGGTATCGGCAACGAAAGGGCAGAATCGCGCAGCCTAGGGATATTACTAATGTGAACACTGTGTACTATACTATCTAATTTGACTTGTCATGTGCTATGATATTTATAAATTTTACAAATTAATTATAATATGAAGTAGTCTAACTGTTAGACGAGTCGGCTTGTCATATTGTTTGAACAAAAATTGATACTTGCCACATCTGATATCATACTTCTATTGATGTTGTTTTGTTAGAATATGACATTTTCTATTGAAAGTATGCGCATTTGTAAACATAACTAGTACCCAGTCATGTGCACATGTATATATACAAATAAAATATTATATATCATATGTATTATGTTATATTTTAAAACCATAAGTTAAAATAATGACATCACATTTATAAATTTAATTATTAGTATAACAAACAATATTATTATAAAATAGTTACTTATATTTGAATCACTATATATGTTTTATCAATATAATTAAATAATATCAATCATCTCTCTCTTATATCACATCAACTTTAACTCATTATTCATTCCCTCACATATTTTTAACAAACTATCACTTTCAACATCTCTCTCATATTTTTACATCTCATCAACTTTGATTATTAAATTTTAAATATTATTTAATTATAATATCTCTCATCCCACTCAGTAACTTTATTTAAAATAAATAACATTCATTCATGATCCAATTTTGATTGATTTAACTGATTATGGTTGCTTACCAATCACCCCCTAAGTACCCAATTGTTATTTATTAGTAAGAACAAGAACAACTCTTCAGTAATGTATAATGCAAAACAAAACTCACGAACTCTCAAAGACTTTATTGAACAATAAACTTAATGCTAAAGGTAATTGCACCCAGCCATGTCTTAAAGTATTCGTGAAAGCATATATACAAACTTTGAGTTGGTAAGGAACCTTTACATTCTCATGTT